AGAGCACATTGTTTGCAAGTGGTTCAATGAAGGGCAGTAACAGTAGCAGATGTAGGTAGCCTCAAAATGTGAAAAAAATTAGCTAAAGGAGAACCACCACTCCCTCCTTTCCTGCCCAGTCACTCTCCAACTCATTGTACTGTTAAACGTTTGCTAATATTAACTTACTAGCATCTGAAATCATTTATTTGTTTGGTTCTTTATTTACTAGCTTGTTGTTTTGGCTTATATGTTAATTGTCCATCTGCTCTGACTACAATGTAAGTTTCTTCAGGGCGAAAACTTTGCTACTTCTGCTGCTGTATCTCATCCCAGTGCTCAGAACAGTAGCTGACACACAGCAGGCAGGCAATAAACATTGTTGACTGACTGACTGACTGACTGACTGACTGGTAAAGTCTTCTGAAACAGCGGGAGCTCAGGAAATGTTGAGCTGAATTAAAAATGAAATACAGACATTTTCTGAGATAAGTGCTTAGCTTCAAATGTTATGTTTTCTGGAGAAAGGAATATACTATTATGAAAAAATAAAAAAAATTCTGAAATTCTTTAAATGCTTTTCAAAAAACATAGGTGCTAAGTTCCAAATAATAAAAATGACAAGATAATGCATGTTTTGCTTCTAACCTGCTGATAAGCCTGTTATTCTCAGTAACCCAATCATTTGAGTAAAATGATCATAAAAAAATATGATTGTTAAAAGCTTCTGGAAATACAAAAAACATAATTTTAACTTTGTATTTGGTTAAAAACTGAATTCAATGCTACTCTCTGGCTTTTGTATTAATAAGACTCTCACTTAAAAGAGCTATTTCTAGTTCAGAGAAATAATTTTAAGAAGTCATGTACTATTCACATTTATTTTGGAAAAGTACAGAAAAAGAAGAAATAAAACACTGTTCATTATTTTGATTTTTAACATATTTTCACATTTAAATAGATTTTAAAAGAAACAAACACAGATGTATCATTCTACACATTTTTCTTTTGTTTCCTCCCAAAAAGGAAATATCAACGCTACCCACAACACTATATGGCAGAGTTTGTGAAATTTCTTCAGGGATGCAGCTGTAGGCCCTTGCATAATCACTCACATGGTAAAAAAACCCAACCCCCCCACCCCAAACCTTTAATTTGGGGGTAACCCTGTTTTCAATAAGACTTACGAGGGCTCTACGTTTGGTTAGTTAAAGCTTCTTAAGGTCAGGGTCTTAATGCCATTTACCATAAAGTACAATCCAGAACAAGGCAGGTGTGTCTTGACGTGTCTTGGATCCCTTCCTGTATTCTCAAGGATGAGCCCCGTGTCTTGTTTTTTTCATTTTTTATGCTGTCCCCACCTCCGGCCAGGGGTTAGTTGCCTACTACCTGCATAGGTCATGCCTCAGTAAGGGTGAACTGCGGGTATGGAAGCTGAGCTTCTATAAAAGGTGTGACTTCCATACGTCAGAGAGAAGGCTGAGAACTGGATATAGGAGTAAGTTACACACTCCAATATCTGTAGATCTGAGATAAGATTAATGGAATATCAGTATCATAGAAACCGTGGCCTTTTCCAGACCCCAGATAATAGTAGCAACTCCCAACCAATCTGCATCCTTTAGAATTTGTTGAGAGTCTGCTACTATTCTCGGAAGGACTGTGCTAGCAGTCGGAAAACGGATCCAGCTACTGTTGGCAAGATCAATGACTGGGCCCTAACCATCTATGAAAGAAGCTGGACAGTAAGTTCCCCTGGGCCTTCCTGTCTTTCTTCTAGATGTGTCACATTTGATCTTTCATGACATGTCTTCTACTTTGTCAGCAATCAACAGAAAATATATAAGACAAATGGATATGACGATTACTTCCCAGTTTAGAGATGTTAAATAATGAAAAAATTTAGTACCTTGTAGTCTAAGTACAAAGCTGTCCTGAAGAATAGAGGTTGTGGGATAACCTTAAAAGAGCAAAGTTCATTTTGGCCAAACACTTCCTGAGTGCCTTGTATACGCCAGATACTGATGGGCAGTGGGAATATAAAGAACAACAAGACACAGGGCTCATCCTTGAGGATACAGTGCTGATGTCCTTTTGGAAGGGATCCAAGACACACCTGCCCTATTCCTCATTGCACTTTATGGTAAATGGCATTAAAATGAAATTTCAATGTCATATGAGAAGTTATATTTAGATACATAAATTCTACCTATAATGAAAATGACATTGCATTCCAAACTGTCCAATTTAACTGACAGACTATTTTGACCACATTGTACTGTCAGCAAAGTAAACTAATATAGAGACCCTTCTGCTAAAAACAATAGTAACTACATTTGCCACATAATGTGTACTGTTTTCTTTACAATAATGCTTCTTATTTTGTCATATGTTTTTAGTAAATAAATGGCTACTATTTACATTAGAGAAGTATGAGAATCTGTATAACTTTTTCTCTGTGAAGGCTGAGTGTCCTTCTATCTGATTTTAAGTTAGGCCTCTTCATGTTTCTAACGGAATGCCACTGTAGTACAGCTCGTCTGGTACCTCTCTTAGTCAATAACACAAAATACGGCCACTTAAGCCTCTCATCAGAGAACTTAGCCTTGAATTCTCTAACATTCAACTCCTGACAAAAATGTGTTTGAGACAATGATATTTAAGAGATACATTTAAGGCACATTTAAATTATCCATTTTCTAGATTTTCCATCTTTGGTTATAGTAAAGTTACAGTACATCATGATAAAAATTAATGTGGTCTCCTATATGAGTCTCATCACTGAGTCATGATTCACTGCTATATTATGGGCTTTTATTTTATTTCATTTTATTTTTTTCTCCTCTCCCTCCTTACCGGCTTTTATTAATTATCAATAAAACAGTTAACAAGGGGCCAGCCTGGTGGTGCAGCGGTAAGTTCACACATTCAGCTTCGGCAGCCCAGGGTTTGCCTGTTCGGATGCCAGGTGCAGATCTATGCACCACTTGCCAAGCTATGTTGTGGCAGGCATCCCACATATAAAGTAGAGGAAGATGGGCACGGATGTTAGCTCAGGGCCAGTCTTCCTCAGTAAAAAAGAGGAGGACTAGTGGTGGCTGTTAGCTCAGGGCTAATCTTCCTCAAAAAAAAAAAGTTAACAATATTGGAAAGAGACATTAAGCAAACAATTCCATTTACAACTGCATCAAAAAGAATCAAATACTTAGGAATAAATTTAACCAAGGAGGTAAAAGATCTATACATTGAAAACTTTAAGATGTTGATGAAAGAAATTAAAGAAGAGACAAGTAAATGGAAAGATATTTCGTACTCATGGACTGGAAGAACTAACACTGTGAAAATGTCCACACTATTCAAAGCAACCTACACAGTCAACGCAATCCTAGCAAAATTCCAACGGCATTTTTCACAAAAATAGAACAAACAATACTAAAATTTGTATGGAATCATGAAAGACTCCAAAGAGCTAAAGCGATTCTGAGAAAGATGAACAAAGCTTTCACCACGCAGGGATGCATGATGCTCCCTGATTTTAAACTATACTACAAAACTGTAGCAATCAAAAAAATATGATGTTGGCATAAAAACAGTCAAATAGATCAATGGAACAGCATAGAGAGCCCAGAAATAAATCCATGCATATATGGTCAAAAGATTTTCAAGAAAGAAGCTAAGAATATGCAAGGGGGAAAGGACAGTCTCTTCAATAAATGCTGTTGGGAAAACTGGATAGCTATATCCAAAAGAATGAAACGCTTCTCCTATCTTACACCATACACAAAAATCAACTCACAATTGATTGAAAAGTTGAATGTAAGACCTGAAACTATAAAACTTCTAGGAAAAAATATATGGGGGTAAATTCCTTGACATCAGTCTTAGCAATGATTTCTGGGATTTGACACCAACAAAAGCAAAAGGTAACAAGAGCAAAAATAAACAAGTGTGACTACATTAAAGTAAAAAGCATCTGCAAAGCAAAGGAAACCATCAACAAAATGAACAGGCAACCTATGGAATGGGAGAAAACATTTGTAAATCATTTATCTGACAAGGAGTTAATATCCATAATATATAAAGAGCTCGCAAAACTCAGTAAAACAAAAAACAAAAAAAGAATATGATTAAAAAAAGGGCAGAGGAACTGAATAGACATTTTTCCAAAGAAGACATACAAAGGGTCAATAGGAACATGAAAAGTGATCATCATCACTAATCATCCGCGAAATGCAAATCAAAACCACAATGAGATACCACCTCACATGTGTTAGAATGGTTATTATCAGAAAGACAGGAGATGGCCAAGTGCGGACCAGGATGTGGAGAAAAGGGAACCCTTGTGCACTGTTGGTGGGAATGAAAATTGGTGTAGCCATTATATAAAACTGTATGGAAGGTCCTCAAGAAACTAAAAGTAGAACTACCAAATGATCCAGCAATTTGAATTATGGGCATATATCCAAAAGAAATGAAAACAGAGGGCTGCCCACTGGCATAGTGGTTAAGTTTGTATGCTCTGCTTTGGCAGCCCAGGGTTCATGGGTTCGGATCCTGGGTGTGGACCTACACTGCTCATCAAGCCATGCTGTGGTGGTGTCCCAAATATGAAATAGAGGAAGACTGGCACAGATGTTAGCTCAGGGCGATCTTTCTCACAAAAAAAAAAAGAAAGAAAAAAGGATATCAAAGAAATCATTGTGGCATTTTTCACAATAGCCAAGATATGGAAATAACCTAAGAGCCAGTCAATGGATGAATGCATAAAGAAGATGTGCTGTATACACACACACACACACACACACACACACACTGGAATATCATTTAGCCATGAGAAAGAAGGAAATCCTGCCTTTTGGGAGAACACGGATGGACCTTGAAGGCATTATGCTAAGTGAAATAAGACAGACAAGGACAAATACTGCCTGGTATCACTTATATGTGGAATTCACAAAAAGTCAAACACATAAAAACAGAGAAGAAAAGTAGTTGCCAGAGGCTGGGGTGGAAAGTGGGGGAAATAGGGAGAGGTTGCTAAAAAGGCACAAACTTTCAGCTATAGGGTGAATAAGATCTGAGGATCTAATGTATAACATAGTGACTAGAGCTGATAACACTGTATTATGTAATTGAAATTTGCTAAGAGAGTAGAACTTAAAATTCTCATCCCCCCAAAAGGATAAATATTTAAGGTGATATGTTAATTAACTAGATGGGAAGAATCTTTTCATTATGTATATGCATATTAAGTCATCATGCTATACATTTAAAATATCTTACAATTTTATTTGTCAATTATATTCAATAAAGCTGAAAAAAACAAAAATAAAATGCAAAAAAAATCAACAGTGTAAGGAAGGCTAGCTGCATTTTATATTATACTTTCATTGAAGACATGGCCCATTATGTTAGTCAGTGCTTCTTGGATAAGAATACATGTGATTTCATTTCATTTAATTTCAAGCATTTTTTTCCAGGAGCTGGGGACACGTGGTTAACAAGACAGATGTGGTCACTGACTTCAAGGAATTTATAATCTAATAGGGGGTAGTAGACACTAAACAAATAATTTCACAAATAACTGCTTGTTTACAAGTAAATAATATGTGACGATTTCTTTGGTATTTATTGTAGAAAAATATCTTTTCAGATGAGTGTCCATGCTTTTGCTTTACAAGTGAGGAAGACAGTGTCAGTTACTATTTCCTTTTTTGCCACGACTATAGGGAAGCTACAGATACATTTTATGCTAAATTAATGTAATTATCATATCATAGGCTGATGGATAATTATCTTTATCTCTAAACAGGTTCTGATCTTATAAAAAATCTTTATGGTAACTATTATGTCCTACATGTTTTATTTCCTGCAGGCTGACCAAGGAAATAGAGAGGAACAGGATACGGGGAGGGGACTAAGATATACAGCATAAATAAAAACAACTATGTCTTCTTGAAGCTTTATTTCACAGTTACATTTGAAAATCAGAATTGTTCTATACATCCACTGTTGTACAAGACAGTATAAAATCATTTTAGAAGTTCCAACTTGGAGTTGTTTCTAAAACCTGTGATGCTACAAAAAAAAAAAAAGGGGGGGGGGATCTCAATTGCCTTTAGCCCCATGACAGAAACAAGGTACTGATTTCATGGAAGTACCATAGAACATATTATGTTAAAAAAAATCAGCATTTCATAATCTTCAAAACTCTGCAGTACTTTAATGGTACTTCTAATAGTGCCTAACACTTGGAAGGATTCCACAGTTTGGCTCCTATAAAGTGGTTTTTGACAGCAAATGTGCAGGAACCAGAATCTATACTGAAATTTGAATCTGAGCCACTTAGACATCATGATGTTGCCCAAATGTGAAGTGGTTTCCATTGGCAATACCATAATATCTTCTCACTGAAGCATGAAACTGAGTTTGGGGGATATTTAGCTACCAAAAGAAGCAGACATTATCTAAGTCTTGATCAGACAGAAAAAAATTTGAAAAAGACTTGCTGGCATTCATTCAGTGGAAAACGAAGACATGAAGAAGCCAAATAAAGTTAACAGCTCTAAAGAGAGGCTAGAAATTGTGGTGCTCTAGAGCCTTTATCATCACTGCCATGCTCACCGATGCCAATAAACATTTATTGAGCTCTCACCAGTGTGCAAAGCACAATGACAGGGGCTTTAGTTATAAGGGTCTTGGAGGTCATGAACTTTATATATTATGCCTCCTTTAATTCCTTGTGCCTGGCACAGGGTTCTGAAGATAGCAGATATTCAGTAAATATGTACGGATTGTACGATTGGGAATGCAAGGGGCTTACTAATTGGGGGACAGGACAGAGGTGACTTCCTTGCCAGTAGAGGTTTTTATCTTAATCCCTTTATACTGTTTCTTTCTAGCACAGTGTCTAGCACATAACAGGTATTTAAAAATAGCAACTTAATCAATAATGTGCAAATAATTTTATAGATAACATTTATTGAGCACTTACTGTGCTTTAGATGCATTATCACATTGAATTCTTACAACATGGAAGTATTGTTATTGCCCTCATTTTAGAGATGACACAGCTCAAGTTTACAGGGGTTAAGTAACTTGTGTAGCTACCTTGATAGTAACTCGTAGAGGCAGGATTTGAACCTGGGCAGTCTGACTGCAGTTCACACTCTTCACTATCATACTGTACATATAACACAGAGAAACAATATTGTCAGGTGGCATGTTAAGGGGCCGCTGAATGGCAGAGATAGGAAGTCCTCTAACGTTAGAATAACAAACGGTTACTGAGGACTGGGAAGTAGTAACAGCTTTATGAAGAAAGTGGTTTTGAGGTAGGTTTTGAAAGAAGAGTAGGAATAGTTAAGTTCTGAGGAAGCAAGAAGATATGTGAACAAAAGAGTGGCTAGAAATGCTTATAATGGATTCGGAGATCAGAGGTGGACTTGTTTGGATAGAATGCAAGTTCATGTAGGACAGTAGTAGAAAATCAAATTAGAGACTTAGCAGGAACAAGAGAGTGAAGGACTTAAGAGTTTGGATTTCATTCTTGAGGCAGAAAGGAAGCCAACAAAGTTTTTTTCATAGAGAAAGGTGTGAAAAGCTGCTTTTAAGGAAGATGTGTAATATATAATAGGAGACGAGAGCTTAGAGATCATGAGACCAGTTAGGTCTAGGTGAAAAAGACCTGGACTAAGGTGGTGGCACTGGGAACGGAGAAGAAATTACAGATAAAAGGGAAAGAAAAAGCCAACAAAACATCACTGCTTTGATGATGGAGAGAGGGATGAGTCAGTATCTGGGTGACAGAGACTGATAATATCACTGTTCAGAAATAGGGACATTTGGGAAGGAGAGTTGGGTTTTGGAAGATTACGAAACTTAACATTTGAAACATCTGATTCCTACAGGTTTAAGCCACTTACTAATAAAATAACTCAATAAATATTTAGAGACTATTATAAGCCAGGAACTGGGCCAGGTACAAGTGACAGAATGGTGAGCAGGGAAGATATGGTCCCTATTTTCACAGACCTTAGAGTTTATGAGAGAAGAGAGGCATTAAAAAAGTAATTACAATAACGTTGATGAGTTTTATGATGGTGGTGAAACAGAGAGTATTATGGGAGCATATGGTAAGAGCATATACGGAGTCTAATCTGGGACTTCCTTGAGGAAGTGACATTTAAGCAATGGGTCATGTTAATACTTTCGTGCCCCATGTCAGGGATGGTGATTTGTTTAACACAGGTTATTTACCAGAGACATAACCATTATATCTCCTCACCAACCACCCCTTCTAGTGAAACTATATTACATATAGATCTGTTTCAAGGGACATCAGTAGGGGGCATCTTTGTACCACATGACCGTGTACCTCCCGTCCACAGCTGATTGAGCCAGGGATGGACACCGATCTAAGTCCAGCCAATTCATAGGACCACCACCTATGGTCTGAAGCAAAGAGATGAGAAAAAACTAATTTTCTGAAAAATCTGAATGGAAGAAACCAAGAGATTTGTGGAGGATTGCTGCTGAAATAAAGTCAGAACTGGAAGGATCTAAAGGCCATCCATCTGATAAAGTTCTGAGTGGGCAGAAAGAGTACGTAAGAGGAAGAAGCTGGTCAATATATAGTGAGTAGAGGAATTACAGAGATTCTTCTAGAGAAATATCATATGTCTCATGAGAGACAAGTGGCAAGAGTAGCTGTTTGTACAGCAATGTTAATTGTCCATGATTTTCCAATCACAAGATGACGAGTACCCTCACAATAACCCATACTGGATTCATTTCACATTAGAGCCACATGATAAAGTCTAAATGGCTTAAATTAAAATTTCAGTATAGAGCTCAGTTCTTATATATTTTCTGTAAGAATCTTCTTTAAGAGACAAACTATAAATTCAGTCCAAGTGAGCTGAGAGGGTCTCTCTTGCTTGTAGACAAAAGGGCTTAATTAAAACACATTATCCCCTCGTGACTAAAAGTAAACTAAAAAGGAGATACTGTATTGAGTTCAGCTACCAGGGTAAATAAATTATTATATATAAAAACAAATCTGTTTGCTACCTTTAAATGTCTTTAATTGTCATAATTATAGCATGCCTATCTCAACACAGATGCATGTGATATATTCTTAGGAAAATTGCCACAACTGTTGATACTTATACTCAAGTGTTATATTTGTATGCTGTATACCATACACATATACATGAAATATATTTATACACACCTAACGAATGTCCTTAGCAAGACATCAATTATACAAATGTACAAACAAAATTATACGACTCTCTCACAATTCTGCTCGCATGCCAGGAGCCTTGAGATGGTGATCTCTGATATAATTACTGTCTCTTCTCCCGCAGCCTCCTGAGTGCATTGCTGGGTAGATTGATGGGATTAGGCAAGTCTGCTCTTGGTAACTTCATCTGTCTTTTGAGTTTTACCCATACTCTCTTATTCTGTCAGCCAACCTCCTCTATTTTCAACCATTATTTCTCCAGTACCTCTCCTGGTTGAAACCAAGCTATAAACAACTGTAGTCAATCAAGTGATAAAGCAGTCAGGTTATCTGTGCCAGTTTTTACAGGCTAAAACATATGAACCTTTCTATAAAGTTACTATTTGGGACTAAGAATAAGGCAGCTGAGGTAGCACTGCCTTTCCACTGAAAGGAAAGCTACAAGTTTTTCCTTTGCTTTTTGGGCTAAGCGCAGTGAATTACTTCAGCCTAGGAGGAGATGAGAAACAAAATTAGGAGAAAATGAGAAAATAAGCGATTTTAACTATTCAGGGGAAAGGGATAAGTAGGTTGAATATAGTCATCTCTCTCCTGTTCCATGCAAAGGATGCTGTGGGATGGACAGTGCAGGGAAATACTCGTCTAAGAGCATTTATGACAATGGAATGGGACTGTCCTCTTTCTAAAACTCAGTTGGGCTTCAGTGGTGGGAAGTGGAGCAGATAGTGCAAGGAGAAGGAAGAGGAGATCACCCTACTGTTCAGACCTCGGTGACAATGAACTAAAGGTAATTTACATGTGGTTAATTACAAGTACACTCTACTGGAAATAAACAGTGGGTTGTTTTCCTAATGGAACATCAAAAGGTGCAATGAAAAATTATACCTTTTTCATTGTCTAAATGAAAGGAACTGGTTTCCAGACACAATTTCTTCAACAGCAAAGAAAACTTTCTGAAAGAAATTAAGATAGTAGTCTATAATCTAACTGCATTATTTAAAACATTTAATTTTACTATAATAAGAGGAAAGCTTACCAAAGGGTCATGAATTAACAGTGTTCTGATAAACATCAATTTAGAAAGGGAGGTATTATAAAATATATTCTCTTGGTTTCTAACATACTTTAAAAAATAATATGGATCATAGTGTGATGATATATAAATAAATGTATAATATGAATTATACAAATAAATGAAAGTTGCAGAAATAGATATCTCAGCTCTACTATTGTGACACATATTATAAGACCTTGATAAAAAAGTAGATTGAAGTCATCATATCATTTTGGGATTTATTAATGCATTTCTTAGTGTCATGTGTACATATACAGGAATTTATCTTATAAATTCAGATTGGCTATATATCTAAAGAGTTGATTTGATGTACTAAAACAAACTACACCTCTGTTTACTTCTTTTAATAGTGAAGTTAATAACAAATGTATGCTAAGTAATTTTACTTTAAAAAAAACTGAGTCACAGATAAATAGATTTTTGCAACTTATGTAACTATCTAATTTCTGCGCAGTGCCTAGAAGCTGCTACACACACCCCCAAACAGCATTTTACACCTACATTGATTAATAAGAGATGTCACTAAGGTATTACCCATGGTTCACAACAAACTTGGACAACAACCAAGTTTGAATGAACAAAAACACGATGTAGAAGAAAGAGAAGGAGATAGACTGGAGCCAGAAACATCGATGGCAGAAGCATAAAGATACCAGTCCTACCTTCAAGCAAACCCAAACCAATTTTTATTATTGAGAATATGAGCTGACAGAATAAACAGGGGCCAGGTACCTGGTGTCCTATTACTATAGACGCAGCTTCCATGTTAGAGTTTATTTCACATAGAAAACTGCAAATAAATAACGATAAGCCATCATAGCGTGTCTGATAATCTGTGACAACAATTCTAATGCTGTCATTGTAGCCACAGGAGAAACCTGCACGTACGGAGCCCTGACCCACCGAGCCTTTTATCTGCATGTGTACTCTCCACAGGCCAAGCAAGTAAAGGCCAAACGATAATTTACACATGAATCAACTTTCTTTGCAGCATAGGCACCAGAGACGTTTCTTTTCTCTGTTCCTGAGAGAAAGGCAGCCAGGTCTAAGCTTGTCTCACTAGAAATCATGCAAGTGAAACAGTGATTTGCAGGAAAATGGCAGATCAGCAAAGGGAAGCTGTTCTGAGTGCGTGATAAAAATGGCAGCCACAAAGGACTAGATGAATATTTAGTTTGAAAACAGGCCTGACAGGAACAATGAGTCTTTATCCTATTCAAAACAGGTAGTGTCATGCAAACTGAAACGGAGATACAATCCTGATAGAAGATTACACAAGATACCTGGGTGGGTATCTTTAAAGACTTCAACCTTCATTTGAATAAACATAGACTTATGGAGCCTTTGCGTCTAGATCTGATTCAGAGTACATACAGTTACTTCACATGGATGACATACGGAGGGCATATTGCCCACTTTGATAATGAGAAATAAATTAGTCAGGATGATTAAAAAAAGGTTTGTTCATGAAAAACTGGGTACACATTTTATACCATGGAACTTGTAAAGAAAAAAAATGTATACAATGTATTTTTTCTTGACCCAGACCCTTCGGTGACCTCTTAGGTCAACTTTCACAAATTAAACTATCAAAATATTGCTATTGCCTTTCTTATAGGAACATATAATGAACAATACTTGTCCTGGCTCATTTAACAACGGAATGGAGACTTACTATTAAATTTGTGTTAATAGGCCATTCCAAAGATGATTATGTAATCTTCTAACAAATGACAGGTACTAACTAAATCAATAAAATTCATTTTTATTCCCTTATTACCACTTCTACAGCTTTGTGTTTGCCACATTCCATCTGTTTCCTGGAATGCCCACCTTCTTACTCAACAATGCATATCCCTGATTTTCTTTAAATTTGGTCCAAAACTCACTGTTCAGGACCCTTTACCTTAAAGCTCCAGTTTTGGCGTGGTGCTTAGATAGAGAAGACCATCAGTAAATGCTGCTAACTATGGACACGGACTCTCAATGCACAAGGATAGGCCAAAATCTTTAAAAATAGTTTTATTTATGAGTTGTAAATATAAGAAATTTGGCATAATTTGTGGTTCATAAAGGGAAATTTTGAATTTTTATTCCTTTAAGAGTCCAGAAATGGATCTGAAAACTCATACCACAATCCATATTCTAAGACAATTCCAAAAATAATAAGAGTTATGGGATTAAGCCATACCAGTTCTTGGTGATGAGTTGCATACATCAGAAATTCCGGCAGTGACAAGTTTCTCCTTCTACTTAATTGCTTCTCTCTGCCTTTTATAGTCTGAGTTTTTAACCCTTTCAACTGCTTCCCTTACTTCTTTTCTCCTTCTTCTGTCTTCCTCCTTTAGGTTGGAACCCTCTTTTGCCCTGCCTCTCTTCTCAATTACCTATTCATTTCCCTACCTTCTCGCTGTTCAGTAGTTTTCAAAGACAAAATTAGCATTTTCCTTAAATTGTAAGCGGCTAATGGGTAAGAATCATACCTACCATTTTCACATATCTACAACCTCTTATAGTGCCTAAGGTAGTGTGAGCCATTTAGAATATTCTTAAGAACTCTCAACAAACTGGGTATAATGGGAATGTACTTCAACATAATTAAGGCTATATATGACAAGCCCACAGCTAACATCATACTCAATGGTGAAACACTGATACCTTTTCCTCTAAGACTAGGAACAAGACAAGGATGCCCACTGTCACCACGTCTAGTCAACGAGCATTGGAAGTCCTAGTCAGAGCAAGTAGGCAAGAAAAAGAAATAAAAGGCATCTAAACTGGAAAGAAAGAAGTAAAACTGTCTGTATTTTCAGATGACATGATATTATATATGGAAACTCTAAAGACTCCACCAAAAAACTATTAGAACTAAATAACAAATTCAGTAAAGTTGCAGGATACAAAATTAATATACAAAAATCAACTGAATTTATATACACTAACGACAAACTGTCAGAGAAATGAAGAAAACAATCTCATTTACAATAGCACCAAAAAGAATAAAATACTTAGGAATAAATTTAACCAGAGAGGCAACAGATCTACACACTAAAAACTATGAGACACCAATGAAAGAAACTGAAGATGACACAAATAAATAGAAAAATATTCTGTGTGCATGGATTGGAAGAATTTCTATTGTTAAAATGTCCATGCTACCCAAAGCAATCTAGAGATTCAAAGTAATCCCTAGCAAAATTCCAATGGCATTTTTCACAGAAATGGAACAAACAATCCTAAAATTTGTATGGAATCACAAAAGCCTGAAAAGCCACAGAAATCTTAAAAAAGAAGAACACAGCTGGAGGCATCATACTTCTTGATTTCAAACTATATTACAAAACTATAGTAATTAAAACAGCATGGTATTGGGATAAAAACAGACATGTAGACAAATGAAACAAAATAGAGAGCCCAGAAACAAACTCATGTATACATGGTCAATTAACTTTTGACAAAGGAGCCAAGAATATACAATGGGGAAAGGACAGTCTCTTCAATAAATGGTGTTGGGAAACTGGAAACTACTATTTTGAAGAGATATCTGTACTCTCATATTCGTTGCAGCATTATTCACAATAGCCAAGGCATAGAAACAACCTAGGTGTCAATCAATGGATGAATGGATCAAGAAAATGTGTTATATATATATACAATGAAATATTATTTAGCCTTAAAAAAGAAGGAAATCCTGTCATTTGCGGCAACATGGATGAACCTGGAGGGTATTATGCTAAGTGAAATAAGCCAGACAGAGAAACACAAATACTGCATGGTTTCACTTTTATATGAAATCTTAACAAAAAAAAAGTAGTTGAGTTGCCAGAGGCTGGGGGGTGGGGGATAGAGGGAGAGGTTGGTAAAAGGATACCCTCCCCGAAAAAAGAATACTCTTGAGAGATACCTACTGTTGGGGACTCTTAAGAAGACATTTTTAAAAGTCAAGCCACAATTTAACTAGTGATATTCATTGGCTTATTGAGCTAATTTATAGGTAAATTCATAAAACAGCTCTTGTATTCCTAAAAGTGAATTTTATGACCACTAGACATGACACCCTCAACTGTCATTTTTAGTGACTTCAGAGAGATAAAGTTTGGATGGTAAAGGAGGAGTGAAGAAAGACTGAATTAGAATGCTCATGATTTATACTTAATTTTATGAAATCTTTGATGGATAATCTCAATTACTAAATTTCTTTTTATATTAATGGTTTTTTCATAAGTAGGTTTAATGCTTTTTTTTCTGGTAAGAAAAAGTTACCCTAATTTGAAAAGTGATATAAAAATATGGTGTTGAGTTAATGCTATTTTATTTGTAAGGCATAAAGAACTATGATCTGTAAAAGTGAGGCAGATGCCTGTCCCGATATATAAGGATGACAAAAGAATGGGGATACGATGTTGGCTGACAGAAGCTTTTAAAAGCAATATGGGGTGGAAGAAATCAGGAGCTTTCTAAATACCATACAAAGCCAGACAGAGAAGAAAACGCAAATTTGAATCCATTTAATTCAATGCATTTAAGATGCTATTTAATAGTTTTTCGGGTTTTTTTTTTTGAGTTTTAGGAACAGGGGACAGCAGGAGTATATAAACCTAGGGATATTCCCCAACTTCATTTCACTATGTATCCTGTTCTTCTTCCTCATTACATTTGGTAAGACCAGCTTCTTATCAAAGTCTTCTCTCCCTGTCTTATCATTCATCCTGTTCCCTCCTTATTGATCATCAGACCATGAAAGAGAAAACGGATAGCTTTACTGGCGTCAATATACAATGCAGACGTTGCATCTACTCAATCTACCAGGTCTGTCGATCTGCCATGGGGGAAACTGGACTGGCCTATAATTTGATGTTCACAAAAGCAAGCTGATAA